AGGGGCTTGGGTGAATGCAGTCTTCAGGTCGTTGAATGCTCTCTCACAGGTCGGGTCGAAGGCAAATGGGACTCCTTTCTTCGTTAGGCGGACGAGCGGGGAGATGATTTTCGAGAAATTCCTAATAAATCTCCGGTAGAAGTTCCCGAATCCAATAAACGCTTGGACGTCAGTCAGGCAGGTCGGTGTTTTCTAGTTGACAACGGTGTCGACCTTCTTGGGGTCCATTCGGATACCGTTGGCTCCGACGATTAAGCCTAGGAAAGTTGTTTCTTGTACAAAGAATTCGCATTTTTCCAGCTTGGCGAACAGGCCGGCGCTCCTCAGGGCGAACAGCACTAAGCGGACGTGTTGTTCATGTTCTGATCGGGTGCGGCTGTATATCAGAATATCATCCAGGTAAGCAGTGCAGAAAATATCCAGGTATTCCCGCAACGTATCGTTAATAAACCTCTAGAACGTGGCGGGGGCCCCTGTAAGACCAAATGGCATCACCAGGGATTCGAACAGGCCGAAGCGGGTACGGAAGGCTGTAAGGTATTCCTCCCCCTTCTTGACTCTCAAATTGTTGAAGGCGGAAATGATATCGATCTTGGAGAAGTACTTCATTCCCTTCAAGTTGTTCAGGGACTCCTTTGTCAGCGGCAGCGGGTATCTGTCCTTAACGGTAATATTGTTTAACGCGCGGTAGTCGACACAGAAGCGGAGGCCCCCTCCTGGTTTGGCCACAAACAGGACGGGTGAAGCAACAGGAGAAGCACTAGGGCGTATGAACCCTTTCCTTAAGTTCTCGGCAAGCCATTCGCGCAGCGCGATTAGCTCCTCTCTGGACATGGCATATAACGGTCCGAAGGGAGCTGTTTTCCCTTCCTGTAACTGGATATGATGGTCGTACGGTCGGTGCGGTGGTAGTTTTTCCGCTTCTTTTGGGGAGAAGACGTCTCCGAATTCACGGAACTCGGGAGGCAGGACTTCGGCGGGATCAGGTACGGGTTTGTCGGTTATGGCGAGGTCGATTTGTTCTAGGGTAATAGCGAATGCGTGGCAGTTTCCTCGATGGATATAAGCAGCGCTGGCCCTTAACGAGACGGTAGCGATATCGTATTTTTCCAGGATCTCGGGACAGGGTGACTGTAGGCGGGGGCGGGCAGATTTCGGGACATCCTGTAATGCTTTTACTTTCATCGGGCGGCTCGGCATGTTACAGTGCTTTCGGCAGTACTCGCTATCAAAGGTGATAGTATGCGATGCAAATCGGATCGTGGGGTCGTGCTGTTTAAGCTACGGCATTCCCAGGACAACAGGGTAATAGGCTAACTGAGTAACGAAGAATCTCATCCCTTCTTGGCGATGATCGTTAATGCGGCAGGTAATAGTAACATAGTGTGAGACCTTTCCGCTCTCGGCGGTTCGTCCGTCAAACACTTCTAAGTCGAACGGTTTCTTCAGGGGTAACAGGGTCAGGTTCTGGTCTTTTGCCCAGCTTTCGTCGATGAAAGCTTTGCCTTCGGCTCCAGAATCGGTCAGGGCATAAGTGAGCAACTCTCGGGTTCCCACAGTCAGGTTTATCGGCAGGATCAGCATATTAGAACGTTGGTTTTCTTCGTCCTCGATAGATAGCCCAGTAGCAGCAGCGGCGGATATTCGGAGGGCGCGCTCCTTAGGAGCCTGGTGGCGACTTACGCCAGGCTCGTCCCATTTATCGAATTCTCACTGGGAGAGCTGGTCCTAGAACGGGGCGGGGAACAGCCGGGACGACTAGCAGGGGAAGGCGAGCGGGATCGACGGCTGGCATGCAGACGAGATGCGGGACGCGTATCGGGCCTAGGGCATTGGGCGACATAATGGTCAGAGGACCCGCACCGGAAGCACTCGTAGCGTTCCTTGCGACTTCTTCGGCGTTGTGAGCTTAGGTCCATTGGGTCTCCGGCGGGCATCGGGGTTGGTCGGGGAGAAGGTATTCTAGGAGGAGTATTGCCAGGGCTTGGAGTAGCAGCGGCAGAATACGGCTTCGGAAGAGCAGTACTTGTCTTGGTTGGGGTAGGGCCCGCGGGGTTACGGGAACGGGAAACTTGTTGCTGGTGTTGGCGGTAGCGGTTATCTAAAGACTGAAGGTGGCGGGAGAAAGCGTGGTATTCTCGAGACGGGGCTGGACTGTGTAGGAGCATATCTTGAAGCTCACGGGAGATTCCTTGTAGAAGCAGAGGAGTCAGGGCGTCTTCCGCCATTCCTCCTTCTAGGGCTAGACGTTGAAACTCGGAGAAAAAGACGCTGAAGTCTAAGTTCTTTTGTTTCCAGGCATACAGTTGGTTCTGAGCATTCTGGACCAGGTCGGGGTCGCCGAACGCATCTTCCAAATAGTCCAGTAGTTCTTCGTAGTCCATAAACTGAGGGATGCCATAGCTTGTTTTGGGTAGGATCAGCTCGTAGGCTTTTCCAACGAGTCTTCCGGCGACATAAGTTAGGCGGGCGGTGGCGGTCGGGAAACGGTCGGCATTAGAGGTCATTTTCGCATAGATCTGTTGGGAGAATCGCCGAAGGTCCTTGCGAGATCCGTCAAACTCCTTTGGGTCAGGGAGTTTCTCACTGAGGACGGTAGAGCGGGCACTTGTAGTAGGAGTAGGCGGAGATACTCTCGATATAACATCTACGGGCGGATTATCAGAGGGCTTGATATCAGGAGCAGGATCGGTATGCGGAGTGTGTTCGTTCGGCGTAGCGGCATCCAGGAGGCGAGACTTTTCAAGTTCAAGTTGCAGGATTCTCTGTTGAGCCTTTTCGATCGTTCCTTCTTGGTAACGTATTACTGCTTTGTGTTCGGAGATAGTCGAGCGGAGGGAGGCATTCGTAGATTCGCAGAGTGCTAATTCGGCAGTAAGGGAGGACTTTTCTTCTTCTAGGCAGGACGCATAGCCGTTGATATTTCTCAAGTAGAGAAGCCAGTCGGAAGGGTTCTGAGCCGCATGTCTAGCGAGCTCCTCCGGGGAGTCCGAAGCCAGCGGCGGGTCAGGGCGGTCGGGCATTGTTCAGCATCCAAATGGTAGGAGCTACGTAGTGTCACGGTAGCAGGCAGGTTGTTTGGCAGGTGGATGCTGGGCAGGCGGATCAGACAATCTATTGCTACGGGCAGGCTCTATCCTAAGCAGGTACAGGCTCTGTTGACAAGACGTAGCTCAAGGAGCTACGTTTCTGGACATGCGCGACAGAATACAGGATGCAGAGTTTTATCCAGCCTCAGGCTTACGTAACCCGGCCACCGGGTTACTCAACACCAACCTCAAGGTTGGGGTCTAGGACAGCGGGTCTGTGACAGTTTTGCTCGTATTACCGGAGGAGGGCGGTTATTAACCTTTCATTAGTCCTGAAAACCTATTAAATAAGCTTAAGAGTATTATTGAAATGCTTTATAATAGGCTATTAAGAGTCTTAATATCCTTTATAAAGGATAAGAGGCTACGATCTAGCGAAATATAAGGGAGAATAGTATATTAAGTATTTTATATTCCCCTTAGGAAACGGCGCGTAAGGTAAAGCATAAACTTAAGGTGCTCGTTATTGGAATAGAGGCCGCTATAGATAGATAAGAGTCGGGGTAAAGTAATAGGTTAGAGGGAGTCGGTTCTATTAGGGAAATAGCGGCTAAAGTAGAGTCTTAGTTCGATTCTAGGGTAATAAAGTTAATAGTAGGATAGTAGCCGTATTTTTTATAATAGCTCGCGTGATAAGTTATTAATTAGGTCGCTATATATTTAAGGATCGCTAACTCTATAAAATTAATAAATACTAGTATAGCTGCCGATTAAGGAGGGGGACAATAGTATATCGATATATTAGCGTTTAAGAGGACGTATTACGTCGCTAGGGCTACGGTCTGCCGCTCGGCGGTGTAGATTACGCTACGGTTTAGATAGTAAAGGTATTATACGTTAATACTAAGCATAACGACCAAGATAGTCTTAGGAAAGGCTAGCATAGAGGAAATTCTGAGTAGAAAGAGTACTTTGGAGACGAGCGGCAGAATCTAGATGCACTAACAATAAATTTTTGGGCCAATCACAGCAGCATACGTGCATGCCGCTGTAAGGTGCATGCCTCTGTATCAATTCCCTTTGAAATATCCTTCGGAGGAGGGGAGAGGAAAGTTAGGTGTGGTAGGCTGCTTGTAAGATCAGGCTGGCAAGACAAGGGTTCTGCTGCGCTTCGAGCATATAATCCCACAATAATCTCAACATCCTCCGTCCACAAGTCGTGATGATCCTTCATGGATGCTCAACGGCCAATGACGTGAAGGATGACAACCCCGAAATAGCAGGCCAGCAAGCACGTTGGCGGCGCAAGGCGGCCTTGATCGCCTCCTCGCTTCTTGCAATAGGCTTCAGCACTTCTGAATGATAGAGAAATGGAAGCCAACGAAGCTATTGATGACAGCCTGCTCTGTTGAGACTGGGCGAGGCTCTCCAAGTGAGGAGGTGATTTGAAATCATGTATGTGGTTCCAAAACTAGTAGATGCGACTGAGTTGTGCGTTTCTCAGAGACAGAATACGGATCATTTCAGAAGTATGGTCAAAAGTTCGAACAATTGAAGACATGATGTTTAGAGCTGTCAGGATGCCTGTGCCACGGCCCTCACTAAGGAGAGAGTCACGGCCAATACCAACGTAAAGTTGAAAGTTCCATGAACCATGTGACGCGTATCTCGGAGTCGTGAATACCCGGAAATGAATACTTTACGGGAGGCCTACATCGGTTTCGTTCAGCACTGAGCAAGGCTCTCAGAGACAGGCATTCTCCGCTGACGGACTTGCATGCAGGCGTACTCTCCTTCAGCTAGAATGGGTCTAAGAATTGACCGAGAGACAGAGACTGCACGAAGTTAGACTGCGCGAACTTATATTGATCTAAGCTACCTATGGAGACCCAGCAATCGCCATGGTCTCCATAGCCTACCCGCCCTATCGGCCTAACGGAGCCAGCGCCGACTATCACTGTTGATGGATTGATGAAGCTTCTTCGACACTCGGATCTCAACGACAGTGACTTAGGAGAAGTTTTAGATAGGAGACACATCATCTCTCCGGTCTACACCGCCCAAGTTGAGCAGGCCGCCGACTATCCAAAGTTCAGGGAGTGGGCAATATCGACCAAGTCGACTGAACTCCTTGTGGAGGGAAGCTTTGGTCCTTTCGAAAGCCACCACATCTCAGCATTGTCGGTCCTGTGCGCCACATTAACACAGACGCTTTGTGTAAGGGAGAATTACATCTCGCTGGTGTTCTTCTGCGGCAGTCATGTAGAAGACGATGACGATAACGACAGTGATGCTGACAGTGACGCTGACGTGACCTTGGCCGCTGGAGGAGTACTCATGATCAAAAGCTTAATTGCGCAGTTACTGGAGCAGCGCAGCGATTTTGAACTGACCGGTTTGGACCGCCAAATCGATAAGCGACTGGTCGAGGAGAGCGATCTGGACGAGCTATGCATTCTCTTCCGTTGGCTTGTCGAACGGCTGCCAGAGGGCCTGACTGTAGTGTGCATCATTGACGGAGTAGTACACTACGAAATAGACTCTTTGGTCGATGAATTGACCAAGGTGTTAGAGTGTCTGCTTGACCTGGTAAGGAATGAAGACATGAGATCACCTGTCAAGGTTCTTGTCACGAGTCCGACGCCGACAGAAAGTGTTCGAGGGTTGTTCGATTCCGACAAGGAAGAAGAAAGCTTCTACCTGCTTCTGGACTCGATTGGTCAAGCTACTTATCTTCCTGATGAGGTTTCTTTCGGATATTTGGACGCAGATTCCACATCGGATGACAGCGACGTTGATTACCACTCCACCACGTAATGAAACAGAAATGGGGGAACGGCGTGGCCTGAAGTCATTCATGTCGGCCCAAAGATACAGTGGATGCCACTTGGCCTAGTAGCGTGTTCTTTGAAGCTTCGTCTCCGGGGCCCGCGCGATTAGAAGCAGGGTCAGGAGGAACAATCACAGACATGGCAATACCTTGCCTCCGGGACACCAGTGCCAAGAGACTCTTCAGAGAGAGGCTCTGATGTGTGGCAGTGAGCTGACTTGTGTGCCACTTCAACCTTACTTTCTCAGAGTGAGAACTTCGAGCACACACGGCGAAATTCAGTCATATGTGCTCATGTATATGAACTCGGCTCGTGAGAGATGAAGATGAAGAGAGAGAAGAGAAAGTTTTGCAGGATATCACGGGTCTGGTTATGCGGCCTCGGACGAGAGGCAAGTAGAGGGATCTCTCGATCAACTCTAGTGGTAGATTGCGGACTGGTATTTCATATAGAGAAATGAATATGAACCCCCGAAGCATTGCCTCGGCCTCCACCTGAGTAAGGCGGAGGTGGCGGGCTCATGGAGTGGACTGCTGATCTCCTCATAGCTGCTAGTAAGACCAACGTGAAATGACAAAGTATCATAGATTACTATAGTCTAATCTCGAGGCTGTGGAAATGTGTATATATGAGAAGAGGTGCGTCAACGCTCAAACATCAAAACCACTAGACTTCTCGTCAACGCCCATCACCGCCTCTGCCCCTCCTCTTCCTCCTCAGCAGCAACCTCATCCCCATCAATCCAAACCTCATGCCCATCCCCCTCCCAAACAGCCCAACTCGCCATCACCCCCAAGACCGCAACACCCGCCAACCCCCACCACACAGCACCGACAACCCCGCCCTCGAGCCCCCGTCCATAAAGCCACCCGCACAACACGGGCCCAATCGTCCTCGCCGCGCTACTAACGCTCTGCCCGAGCCCGTGAATCGTCCCCAGCACAGACGGATGCGGCGTACAGTTATTAATCAAAATCGTCTGCCCCGGCAGCGCAAACGTCCGTCCCAGCACCTGGAAAAGCAACACCCCAACGATAGCGAACCAGATCGCGGGCCCGCCCTTCGGCCCCGGCGGCGGCGCGGCGTCGGTGGTGGGCACGACGGCGAGGTACGGCACCAGGAAATACGTCACCGGGAAAAAGTAGAGAAACAGACGCCACGCCTTGACGGTGCCCAGGTGCGCCGACAGGCGCGGATACACGAGGAGCTGGAGACTGATGCCGATGACACCCAAAATGGCCATGGCCATGCCGACGGACTGCGGGGGCATGCCGAGGCCGCCGGAGAAGCGGAAAGGGAGGTGGGGCGGCGCGGCGGAGGTCGGGGTCGAGAGGAAGACGAACCAGAGGGCGTTGAAGGTGCCGACGTGGAAGGCGAGGAAGAAGTGGGCGGAGAAGGTCATGAGGACGTTGCGGGTGAAGATGCGGCGGAAGGGGAGGCGGTGGCGGTAGCGCGGCCGGGGTTTTTGTTTTGGTGCGGATTCGGGGGAGAGTTCGACGTCGACGTCGGTTGTGCTTGCGGAGCTGGAGTGCAGGGGCGTGTAGGCCGCGTCGTCGGCGCCGTTGCCGATGGCTCTGCCCCTCCGACGGGCAATGAGGCGCCGGACGAGGGAGGCGATGCTTGCTCCCACGCGGGATCCGAGGTCCGGGCCCTCTTCGCGGAGGGCGTCGTGCGTCTCTTCGAGGCAGAGCCAGACGGATAGGGCAGCGCAGGAGAGGAAGATTGCGCTGAGCAGATTCGGCGTCGCGTAGGGGTACTTCCGGAAGAATGCAACATCGCCAAAGAGCGAAGGATAGCTCCCCGCCGGGTCGGAGAGGATACCTCCCAAAATGGGCCCGATGATGACGCCAATGTTGAAGGTCATGGGCAGCAGGATAAAAGCGCGGGCCTGGAACTTCTTCTCACGGACGATTTCGCTAATCATTGTCCGCAAGACGCCGACGTTGCCGTTCGTTGCGCCGCCGATACAGCGAAAAAATAGAGCTTGCGCAAAGGACTGGGAGAAGCCGAAGCCGATGCAGGAGAAGCAGGTGCCGAGGAGACCAATCATGAGGACCGTCTTGCGGCCGAAGCGCTTCGAGTCGGCTAGGCGGCCCCAGATCATGGCTGTGATGAATTGTGCTGCTGTGAAGGAGGCGTGGAGGATGCCGGCCTGGCTTGAGATTACTGAGTCTGGCAGCGTTGGGTCGAACCATTTGAGTTGGTAGAACATGTAGGACTGGAGGCGGTGTTAGCGGGTGGGTAGTTACTCTCATGAGACATGGCTCTATTTTATAAGGAAACACGCATGTGAATACTTTGGATTCAATTTTGTTCTGAATCTTTGCGCTGGATGAGGTTTACTGAAGGAAGAGTGACACGTACCTGGAGAGAAGTCTGAACAAGAGGCTCACTTAACCTCGTCATCGTAATCACAAACAACTGCTGCTTCTTTGGCAGATCTCGCCAAGCCACGGGCGGTGGCTTCTCAGGCTTCTTGACGAGAGGTAGCGGCGGAGGCTTGGGGGTCGCATTCGAGAGCGGCGCATCGGCAGCCTCGACCGCGCCGTCGGTTTGGCCCAGCATCATGGGCGTGTCCTCGTCCGCATCGTCGTCGGAGTCTGAGTACTCCCCTCTTTCGGTGTCGGCGTCCTCGTCATGGTGCTGGAGCACCAGCTCGTCCTCCGTGCGCCGCGGCGGCATCGTGTGGGGGCCCCGGTGCCGATGTGATGGTCTTGGGGTTACACTCCGCCGTTGACCGAGGGGATAACAATTACGGACGTATCTCGTTTGGCCGTTACGAGTGAGCGTGTGTTTAGGTGAGAGATGTAGTGACGGAAATCCAATCTTCTACAAGTTTCATGGATGCTTGCGAGGCACACCAAAAGAAGAGCTGAACATACAACCCATCCGGCCAAATGATGAGGGGACGAAAGAATGCTGACAAGAGCGGTGCTGTTAAAAAGATGAAGTTGGGAAAGGCTGGGCCCAGTATACAAAAAGATCAAATGGACGTCGGGAAAACTCCGCCCAGGCCGGGACGGGATCGAGCCGTGCGGCAACAGGCGAGCGCAGAAAAACGAAACGGAAACAAGTTGCCGCCACTTATCCTCACCAGGACAAGCATGTAACAAGAGTCAGCCGCTACCGCTCAACAATATTTTGCTCGACGCGCCAAACGACACACACACACACACACACACACACACACACACACACGCTTTGCAAGTTCTTGGCAAGTCGCGTGTCATAATGGTTGTGGCTACCTTGGTTAGCTGACCGCTTGACGCGGGTACGTCACAACGGTGAAAAGTTGCAACTTGGCCGAGCCCCCGAACGGCCGATCCCGGCGCCGGGGAACCGGTGTACCCGCAATTTCTTTTTCCACCGAACCGTTGATGTTGAACGGCGCGCCGGATCCCGTGCGTTAGAGTTAACATAGCGGAGCTCCTTGGCATTTCTCCCTTCAACCAGCCTTGATTGAGAACTTCTATTCATCTAAAAGGCATGCGCAATCTGCATTTCTCACCACTCGATCGTAAAGCCAGCAAGGAAGGCTCAATGGGAAAAAGAGAGCTTTGGCATCTTCAGGTGACCCACCGCCGGTGAATGTCGCAATCTGCCGATTCGGTGCCGAAGACGATCACGCCGTCCGGTCTCGCTCAGTACTACGACTAGCAAGTGCATTTCTAGCCTCAACGTCAAATCTCTTCACTTCAGCCATTGCAGCATCCTAAAACTGATACGCCAGCAGTTCATCGAATCATGCATCTTGTGGTATGAAACTAGGTGTGTGAAATACATTAAATATACAGTTAAATCATAGCATTGAAGCAGAAGGCCATCCGCAAAGGCGATCCAGCTTTCATTTTCCATTCACTTTCGTTTCCCTATTCCACGCAACGCCAAGAACGCAGACAATATTCATATCAGTGTCGGAGTGACGCCAAACGAGTGCTTTACACCATCTCTCGCGGTTGGTGTGCTGAACCCAGATCGTTGTTCCGGTAGTCGCGACTACCGCTCCTCTCCTTCGTCGGCTGCGTGGGGTCCGCAACCATGCTAGTCAGGCCGACACTTTGACTCTGGTGAAACGGCGGTTGGTAGGCGGGCGGAGCGGCACCGGTGTATGCGTAACCGCCTTGCGGAGGCGCCTGTCTCCACGGCTCCGGGTTGTATCCGCCCGTTCCCTGGTTGCCGCCGAACTTTGCGGGCAGCCGGCCGCGGGCCCACTTGCCTCCGAAGGTAAAGAACAGCGAGACCAGAAGCAAGAGGATGATGAAGGCTGCAAGAAAGTAATTGAATCGGCGGTTCAAGGCAAAGGAGAAGCCCCTGCACATGTTAGCACATTGATGAGATAATTCGAAGCGGATACACGTACAAGAATGCATTGAAGGTACCGAGAGCAATGGTGATGCGACCGAGCCATTGGTGGACAACCTTGTATGGCGTATCCCGCTGCGTCTTCTTGTACTTTTGGTGATGCAGGAAGCCAATGGCAAATTGGCCCAGGAGGAAACCAACTACGATGAAGCCGATGGTCTGATGCGCCGACTTGAATCCACGAGACTATTGTCCACATTAGCATCGGCATCTCTTCAATACAACTTTACGGATACTTACACGTGAGTACCAGAAACTGGTCAGGACACCGAGGACGAATCCAATGAGAACGATAATCAGAGCAACACCTTGGTTTAGGGCGTGCCATCTAACCATGTTTCCAAAGCGAAGAAGGATAGCGCCAAAAGGAATGAGGAAGACCAAGGAGCCCACCATCAGGACCGCATGGAAGATGGACTTGTAGTCTCTCCGGCCATCGTTGGCAGATACTTGCGTCGTACCCTCGTTGACGGAACTGTCCTTGAGCACGGGCGCGTCGCCGGGGCCAACTGTGCGCTTCATGTTGAGTGTAAAGCGGCCAAACTCCTCGTGGAACTTGACAGATGTGTCCTGCTTATTTGAGAAGAAGCTTCCCTTTGGTCCGACAGCGTAAATGGCCTTTTG